TAAAGTAATCTTTTTGAATAAATAGAATATTAATAATAATAAGTAGATGGAAGAAGTAAATTTGTGTTAATAAAAAGAATAGATGTGAATCTTTAGAATAAATCTAATATAGAAAAGTACTTTTTATATACTGAAGAAATTTCTTGTCCTATTATTATTATGTCTAAGCCTTTTCCTTTATAATATGCCAATACAAAATTAAATTTGAAAATAATGATGAAGTAAACGTGATCCATAAATCAAAAATTGTTTAATAAGATTTTATTGACACAAAGTTGAATAAAGAGGAAAATAAAGTCGTTAATCTACTTTGAGAGATTTTAGTATTTATAGTTTTATTCTGACTTTTTCTTTTAAAAAAACAAATAATAATAAGTTAATATTTGTATTAAAATATTATTATTTAATTTATAAATACAGTTTAGCTTAACTGCTTTATCCTCTTATAAATTAATCATATTAATCTATATAGAAAATAATTTTAAACTTAATTCAAAATGTATTAATCATTTAAAATAATTGGCTAAATGATTAATTAGAAGATAAATAATTATAAAATTAAAAAAAAAATCTAGATGTAGATATTTAATTTATTATAAAAGAGTATATTGAATATTGAGATATATTAAATAATAAGAATGATATTATGTTATTTTTATATTGTATTCAAAAAAATTTCCAACATTCTAAGCAACCATTTTCTGAAAAATTAAAGTAAAATAAAAATGAGTTTGAATATAATGATATATTTGGAAAATTAGTTTATCTTCATAAGCCTAGGTACTTATTTTAGAATTTAACACTTTGGAATGAATATGTTTTGTAATTGATGATTTAACTTCTTACTTATTATTAAAATTTAAATTAATAATGTAAGAGCCATTTAAAGTGAGTATTAGAGTGAAACCATATGAGGGAAGATCAAGATTTCTCACTTAGAGAATAGGAAAAGAAACTGTAATATCAAAATAAATCAATAAATAGATTATACAAGTAGAATGTCCAACTTAGACAATAAGAGATCCTGATACTTATGAATAAAGATCTTTTGCATTTGATAATGTGTTCAATGATGGAGAGAGCACACAAGATATTTATGATTAAGTAGAGAAATTTAATATATAATTTTAGGCTATTTCATAAATGATTTATGATTGTGTCTCTTAAGGATATAATGGAACAATTTTGGCTTACGGATAAACAGGTTCTGGAAAGAGTTACACAATGTTTGGCAATTTATATGATCCTTTAGTAGAAAATGATGGATTGGTTTCAATGGTTTTAGAATAATTATTCCAAATGAACGTTAAAATTAGTATTTCCTATTTGGAAATTTATAATGAATAAATAAGAGATTTAATTGGAGATTAGGTTGGTTTGTAGTTGAATGAAGATCCTATAAAAGGAGTCATGTTATAAGATGTACAGGAATTGTAAATTATGACGATAGATCAAGCTAAATCAATAATAATTAATGGCAATTAAAAAAGAGTTATGGCAGCAACTAATGCAAACTAATTCTCTTCTCGATCTCATGCTATAATATAATTATTTGTTGTAAATTAACAATATTAATGCAAATTATCATTAGTTGATTTGGCAGGTAGTGAAAAAGCTAATGTAAATGAAGGTAGTAAAGGAATAAGATAAATGGAAGGAGCTAATATCAATAAAAGTTTATTAGCTTTAGGAAATTGTATTAATATGTTAGCTTGTGATTAATCAATAAAGAAATTTGTACCTTATAGAGATTCAAAATTAACAAGACTTTTAAAAGATTCATTAGGAGGAAATACTAAAACTCTTATGATAGGATGTGTATAATAAGTAGTTTAATGTCATGAAGAAAGTATTAATACTTTAAAATATGCATCCAGAGCAAGAGCTATTAAAAAAAAGATTGTTTAAAATATTAAAATTAATGATATTACAAATTGTAATTGCAATTGTAATTCAGAAAATGTAGGTTTATTATAAGCAGAGATTGAAGCATTAAAATAGGAAGTATCATTCTAATGTATTTTATTATTATTAATATTATAATAGATTAATTAACAGAAGAAGAAATTGAAATTAGATTAAATTTAAAACAAATTGATTAATTATAACTTTAAAATAGAGAAGGTTTAGAATATTTATTATAACAAATGAATTCTGAAATGATAGATGAAGATAGATTGAAAAATGAAATACTATAATATGAAAGAGCAATTAATGAAAATGAACGGATTAGATAAGAATTGAATTCTTAATTATAATCTAAGAAAAAAGAAAGAACTGATCCAAAAGATATTCAAATTGAAATGCTTAAAAAAGAAATTACTTTTCTAAGAGATCAAATTAAATAAAAGGATTTAGTTATTGATTCCTTGAAAATTGATAAGGATAATATAAAATAATCTAGACCACATACTAGTTATTAAGAAACTGATAGACCAAAAATGAATAAAGAAAATTCTATTGAAATAGATGTTAGAAAAGATAGTCTATAATATTGTGGTTCATCTAAATCTATTAAATAACCTACAAATAGAGAAGAAGAATAACATCTTTAAAAATTAAATAAGGCAAGAGATAATTATAAGATTTTTAGAGCAAAAATGATTTAACTTTAAGAAAAAATGAATTATTACACAAAAAATGATATTCATTTAAATCAAAATTAATTAAAAGAAATTATTGATATGATGAATGAACTATCAACACAGAATGGTCCTGTTTTGAAATAAGATGAAGAGATGATAATTTATTTTCAAAAATTCATTATATCTTAAACTTAGAAATCCTAATAATAAATAAATCAAAATACATTAAATACTCAAATAACTACACCATAACAAAGATCAAGAAGTGTTAATCCAAATCCNGATTTGGCAGGTAGTGAAAAAGCTAATGTAAATGAAGGTAGTAAAGGAATTAGATAAATGGAAGGAGCTAATATCAATAAAAGTTTATTAGCTTTAGGAAATTGTATTAATATGTTAGCTTGTGATTAATCAATGAAGAAATTTGTACCTTATAGAGATTCAAAATTAACAAGACTTTTAAAAGATTCATTAGGAGGAAATACTAAAACTCTTATGATAGGATGTGTATAATAAGTAGTTTAATGTCATGAAGAAAGTATTAATACTTTAAAATATGCATCCAGAGCAAGAGCTATTAAAAAAAAGATTGTTTAAAATATTAAAATTAATGATATTACAAATTGTAATTGCAATTGTAATTCAGAAAATGTAGGTTTATTATAAGCAGAGATTGAAGCATTAAAATAGGAAGTATCATTCTAATGTATTTTATTATTATTAATATTATAATAGATTAATTAACAGAAGAAGAAATTGAAATTAGATTAAATTTAAAACAAATTGATTAATTATAACTTTAAAATAGAGAAGGTTTAGAATATTTATTATAACAAATGAATTCTGAAATGATAGATGAAGATAGATTGAAAAATGAAATACTATAATATGAAAGAGCAATTAATGAAAATGAACGGATTAGATAAGAATTGAATTCTTAATTATAATCTAAGAAAAAAGAAAGAACTGATCCAAAAGATATTCAAATTGAAATGCTTAAAAAAGAAATTACATTTCTAAGAGATCAAATTAAATAAAAGGATTTAGTTATTGATTCCTTGAAAATTGATAAGGATAATATAAAATAATCTAGACCACATACTAGTTATTAAGAAACTGATAGACCAAAAATGAATAAAGAAAATTCTATTGAAATAGATGTTAGAAAAGATAGTCTATAATATTGTGGTTCATCTAAATCTATTAAATAACCTACAAATAGAGAAGAAGAATAACATCTTTAAAAATTAAATAAGGCAAGAGATAATTATAAGATTTTTAGAGCAAAAATGATTTAACTTTAAGAAAAAATGAATTATTACACAAAAAATGATATTCATTTAAATCAAAATTAATTAAAAGAAATTATTGATATGATGAATGAACTATCAACACAGAATGGTCCTGTTTTGAAATAAGATGAAGAGATGATAATTTATTTTCAAAAATTCATTATATCTTAAACTTAGAAATCCTAATAATAAATAAATCAAAATACATTAAATACTCAAATAACTACACCATAACAAAGATCAAGAAGTGTTAATCCAAATCCAAATAGAGGAAAAGGAACTTCTTAACATTAAAGAAAACCTTTATAACCAACCAATTAATCACCTATGAATAGATAATTATTCAGTAATCACACAAAATAATATCAATAATTAGTTTAAAAAGGAAAGAAGGTATAATATTGATTTGATTTCAGGAAAGTTGTCCCACTCCGTAGAATAAATAAAAGTTCATTTTGGAATACGTAAAGAAAATGGAAAATTAAATACCGAGGGGGAGTAACAAGTCCCCACTACAATCATTTAGCTCCGATAATTCGGATAAGTATTAATTCACTAATATAAGACCAGAGACGATATTATTAAGCGTAGTTTTGTCTAAAAAGTTCCATTTCAATCAATTTAATGATATTATATTTTACAATTATTATTGTCTCATTACGAAACCAAATTCTTTTAAGTAGATAATTAATTTAAAATTGTCTTACAAAATATTATATTAAATCTTATATAAATATTTTTATTATTCATATGTATTTGACAATTCTAATATTTTTTTGATATTTAAGATTTGTCATTATAAAATTGTCACAATAATTAAATTTAAATATGGATAATTCTAAATCGAAAGACAATTAAAAAGTAGAGCCTTTGAGACCATGTTGTGCTTGTCCTGAAACAAGAAAACTAAGAGATGAATGTATTGTTTCTTTAGGAGAAGAAAAATGCTAAAAAGAAATCGAAAATCATAAACTATGTTTGAAAAAGCTTGGATTTGAATGAAAGTTGATATTTTATTGTCTAAATATAATATTCAAATTGATATTAAACTTGATTTAATTGAGAATATTTTAATATATTCCTTCTTCTTGACTTTATTGTATATAATTATAATACATTAATTATGAACATTTATAAATCGATTGGACGATTATCTTCTTTCAGATTCTCGACATCTGTTATTGAGATTCTTAATAAGTTTGATGAGGATTATTATGTAAAGAATTTCTTAAATACATTCAATTCAACAGGATTCCCATAGGCTAATCTAAGTAATATAATGTATTTATTATTTTTAGAGATTGGAAATAAAAATTGTAATCTTATTGGTTTGCCAAGGACTGGAGTTCAAGAAACAATAGTAGATGATTTAACAGAATTATTGCTTAAGGATTAGAAAAAAAATAATTTTTTAATACAAATTGATCCATCACCTTACTTATATGCTAAAAGATAACTTTATAAATTTTATCATTCAAAAGTAGATCCAATCATAACTGATGTAAGAAATTCTAGTAATGAAAGAATTTATTTGAATAATTACCAACTTTACCTATTGATACCAATGAATTAAGATTAGATTTAGCTATATTTGATTCTATCCATTTGATTTAGCAACATCCTTAAATAAATGCAGAAAATAAATAAATCATTTTTGAATATTTGAATGGATAAAAGTTAGGATATTATTAAGCAACACTAAAAAAGTTAAAGGAAGCCATATTGAAGGATGGATAATTATCTTAATAACTATCATAAGAGAGTGATGAAATGGCATAAAAATTTGCAGATTTATTATCAAATACAATTCTATATAGAGATTAAAATTAAAACGAAATAGTTCAAATAAGTTTATTATAAGCCTTATATATGACAACATTAAAAGGGTCTAACATACATTTAATAGGAATGTCATAAATTTATTAGAGAATAGCTAGTGGAATATTCTTATCATTGACAGAAGTTAAAGAGATGTTTAATAATATATGTTAAGAAATATAAAGTAAGAGCATTAGTGAGAATAATTTAAATTATTTATTTGATTTTTAAACAATGTTATGGAAATAAAAAGGAATAGAATATTACTTATTATTTAATATTAATCGTTATTTAAAGAATTCAAAAGGAGATGATGTTACAGTTGTAGTAGATGCTTTACATTATGATCCTTTAAGAATTGCAATATCAAATTAATAAAATAATTTTATTGAGGAAATAGAAAATAGTTATTTTGCAGAATTTTAATATCCTAAATTAGAGAAACAAGAGAATGATGATTAAATGTTGGAAAAACATGCAATTCTAAGTTCAATTTTATCATTTTAAATTTGGAAAGAACCTTGTATCAATAATCCATTTCCATATTTATCAAAAGATTTCAAAAAAATGACTGTAGATTAATAATAAGAAATTCATAATAAATTTAACAAATTTTATGAGAAATATTCAAATTAAATTTAAGATGTGAAGAATTCATTAAAATAATAATGAAATATATTAATTTAAGAGTATTATTATTTTATTTTATATTTTTATATATTAAATATGGTAAAGAATAGCTTATATCATAGTCCAAAGTTTCTGTGGCATCTACTTACACTATAGGAGAATCAATATCATCTTTAGATATAAGTCAAGAATATACAGCTGCAGGTTTATTGGATGAAACAGTGGCATTATGGAAAGACAAAGTATCAAAAGAAAATGAACCATAAAGATTAGAAGGGCATTTTTTAGGGATTGTAGATGTAAAATTCTCAAATAATGGTGAATTACTTGCAGTAAGTTCATTAGATAGTGTTATACGTATTTGGGATTTAAAGAAAAGTATAAAATCAAAAGAAATTGCATGTGATTAAATGGAAAATTGGAATATTTGTTGGTTGAAAGATTATATATGTACTGCAGGAGAGGGAGGCAGATTATCAATCTTCAGTTTAGATTAAAATCAAGAAGAAATTCCAGTATTTTCAGTAGAAAACTCATTTGCATCTGCTTTAACTGCAAATAATGCAAATATTGCTGTTGGAACAGATAGTGGTTCATTACATATTGTTGAAGATCCTATAGAAAAGAGAAAACTTCATTCAAAAAAATTTCATAAAAAAATGGTGAGATCTGTAAAATTTAGTAATGATGGTTTTAAAGCTTTTACAAGTTCAGATGATGGAGATATTAAATTAATTGATTTAACTAAAATGAAAGAAATTAAAACATTTTAACATCATTATTCTGTTAATTCAATTGATGTTAATCCAATAGATGATAAATTAGTTGTCAGTTGTTCATCAGATTATAGAGTTAGATTATGGGACACATAATCTGGATAATGTATTGAATAATTTAGTCCATTTGATAAAAAAGATGATAAATTATGGGCTGTTCGTTTTAATAGAGATGGATCTTTAATTGGAGTTTGTTCATAACAAGGTTAATTAAGTTTCTATAGTAGAAATTGAAATTGTTAGAAATAATAAAAGTGTTATAACCAAAATGTTTATTATACTTTAGATATTTATTATAATATTTAATAATGATATATCTAAGTAATTAATCTGATATTCTTGATTAAAATCTTCCTTAAGATATTTAAGAATACTCAAGGAATTCATTTTAAATGAATGTTCTATTCCTGATTATTATTATATTGTTTATTAAATTATTAATGTTGAAATAAGATTATGTAGGACAAAAGAAAATTTAGAAATATTTTATAATAACAAAAACTCAATTAATAATGATAGTATTAATTTTATGATCAGAAAAAGGAAATCATAATAAAGAATTTAAATAAACACATAATTCTGTGAATTTTAAACAATAACATTATATCTCTAAAATTATAAAAAAATAATTAAAGACAGATATTTGAAGTAATTTATTTAAAATATCATTTTGATTAAAATGATAATGGAATTCTTGCTATTCTCAATAATTACTTACAAAATAATAATAAATTCATTTTTCTACAGCTCTTTCCAAAATTACATCTTTGATGTATAACTTTATGGATCTTATTTTTAGAATAACCTTTAATGGTATCATCATAACCATTATTCTTGTTTTTTATATGTCTCGAATTAGTTTAATTGTCAAAGGTAACCAGAATACAAAATACAAAATAAATAAAATTGCTTCAAATATTATAAACAAAGCTAAAAGTTAAGTTTTAGAATTATTCATATCTAAATTAATTCCCTCCTTTAATTTAAGAAATAAATACCGAAATGTAGCTATAATTATTTCATCAACTTTTACCTTTTAGATATGTACTTTACATTACTCTCAATTCTTTAGCCTACTTAAAATTATTTAAATTATAAATGTAATTAGTAACATTATCATCATTCTAAGTAATATTCTTGAATATAACGTTTCCTCTGACAGCACTTGAAAATGACACTTCAGGATGGCCATAAAATTATTCATAAATAGTCAATAGAAATCTAATATTTTCAATAAATCTTGCTAATCCCACAGCCATTCCTTAATCTATGGCTCCTGAAGCAAACTATATACATTCCTCCTCAGTTACAGTTTGCATTTCACTTGCAAATATTGCACATGGTTAAAGCATAAAGATTTCTTAGAAAGAATCTATGTATATATTATTGAGGATATCTATATTTAAAGAGTGTTCTTGATGAAAATAAGAATCTATTTAATATAGTGCATCTATGAGAACTTTAAGTAGATAATATGAATCAACACTAGTGATAGGAATATCTCTATTTAAAAATAAATGTCTTTCTGAACCTTCAGCAAATTTATAAAACCCTTCACAATAAGAAGTTGAATTAATTTCAGGTACCATCTGGCTTAAATTTGTGAGCATCTAACTACTTAAAAAATAAAATATGATGAAATAGCTTTGGAATAATATAGTTAGAATTAGAGAAATCAAAATTAGGTTTCTTAATTCTTTGTTAGAATTTTTATATTTCTTCTTTTTTCTTCTTTATTTAAGTGTTCTATTCAATTCTTCTCGTTCTTCTTTTTCAAGTTCATCAAAATCTGATAACATTTCATCATCTTCTCCTATTTAAATATTTGATAAGAAGTTTTCACATTTTGAATATAAAAATTTAATAGTTTTATCTGGAATATCTAAGAATAAAACTAAAATTTCTTATAGTCCTTTTGCCATCTAAATCAAAAAGAATATCAATAATAATAATGAAACTCCTAAAATTCCTGAAGATGTACCTAATATACTTATTAACTCCTATCTATTGTCAGCTGTTTTCTAAGCTAAATCTAAGGAATATTATTGAGTAGAATTCTATAAATGAAGAGCAAAATCATTTAAAAGATTATAAGTCAAAAATTTGAAGTCTTCATCTTTTGGAGTCATATAAGCTAATTATTTATCTCTAAGTATGAGAGATTTACTTAATAATTATTACATAGCTTATACTAAATCATATTTTTGAAATACTCCCTCGCTGACCTGCATATTTACAACATTTTAAGTGTACAATTCTTTAAGTTATTCATTATCATCATCACTATTTAGAGTTAAAATTGTATTAATTTCATTTATTGTATTTATTGTATCATTTATCAATTATCTCTAATCTTTTTCATATAATTCACTTTCAGAATCAGAGGTAAATGTCCAAATTCCAATTTATTACATTTATAAGTTTTGGGTAGCTGCCATAAGATTAAAAAATTCAGCATTTCTTATACCAACTTATTAAACTAGATATAATTAATCACTTATTTTATTATATTGTTAATTAGTTAAGAAGAATGCAACAAATGATAAAGTAACAATTGAAAGCATTTCTAAATTCATTGTCCAATTAAGTTTGGTAATGACTTTTGGTGTTTATTAAATATTAATAAGTTAAAGTAAATTTGTTCGTGATCTAAAAACATTCAGATTATCATTTACTCCTACTTCTATTGAATCATTATCAATTTTTTGAAATACACTTGATTTTCCTGAATCTTCATCTTCAGAGATAATATCTTCTCTATCTTCAATATCTTAGATTTTATTTTCAAATAATCTTAAAGTTTTAATACCATCATCTAATTTTAAAGAATGAGTAAATATTTATAATTCATCACTTTTTTCTGTTGATGGTTTTTAATATTCCATTCCAAGATTAGATGTTAATTAAGAACTTTAATCTTATTAATCCCAATTTACAGATTAATCAACCCTTTAAGAATTAATTTCATTTCCAACTTCTGCTACAAATGTCATAGCTTTAGGGATGAATTTAAATTACATTTAATTATAAACTAATTATTCAGTTTATTGTTTTTCAGCTAATAAACTCATATTTTATTAAGTACCAAATGATTTTTCAGTTTATATTAATTCTAATTTAATAGAATAACCTACAAGTTATTTTTCAAAATCTCTGATTTCTGATACATTACATTAATAAATTTAATAAAACTTATCTGATTTTTATTTTTCAGTTTATTATTCAGATGAAGGTTAATATGATGGTGATTTAGTTTATTAAAGAGAATTATAAAATTTAATTGGGGCTCCTTATTTAGTAAAAAATGAATTAAACTAATCTTAGAATTGAGGAAAGAGATCATTAATATAAATCTTATTATGAGTTATCAATTTATTATCAATACCTAATAATGAAAAACAAGAAGCTGATATAGATTCAATAATTTTTTCATTATCTGTTAAAAGATAACAAATAGGTTTAAATTATTTGATCAATTTAAATTATCCAACTATCATAGTAGAATCATCATATGATTAAAGCATTCTTATATTCAAAAAACTAGGCATAATGTAATTATGTTTTTATTTAACAAATATATATCTATCAACATTAAAAAGACTTGAAACATTGAGAGTCATAAATTTCTCTATGTATCTATCATGAAACTTTGCAAATACATTTGGCATAATTAATGTAATCTTTTTATTCAATAATTCTGATTTATTATAAGCTAATACATTACAACAAGCTTTATTGAGATTTGTAATTTAAGAGAATTTATCAACTGTAGTTGCAATAACTATTGTTGGTAAAGCTTCAAGTCCTATATCTTCTGCATTAATAAAAGATGATGTTGCTTTATTTCTATTTAAACCAACTTATTATTATATGATTCTAGATTTTTCTAATAATTCTTCTCCTTGTTCTTTATCTTATAGAACTTCAATCTAAAACTTTCCATATAATCTAAGTGCCTTTGTTAAATTTGTGCTTTACTTTTACATTTTCTTCCATAGATCCTCTATTTATACTATTGAATTATTTATTTTTTATCCAAGTTCATTCAATTTGCTTAAATCAGGAAAGTCTTCTTATAATAATGACCAAAAATCCATATGAAGTAATGATGATCTTTCAATATATCTTTATAATGTTTTATAGTTATTTTAGAACTATAATTCATTACCAATGTCAAAACTACCATATCCCTCATTTGAATTTAATTCATCTTCTATTAATTTTTTAAATCTATAAATTATAAATTCTTCATCAAATTTTGGAAATAATTATTCTATTGCTTAAAGTTCTATTAAGGCATTTTATTTTTATTTCATTTTTTCATATAAATAAATAGCAAATCTTAATCTCAATTTAATACAATTTTAAAACTTTTTTGTTTAATTTAAATACATTTAATATAATACTATAGATAAATCTATATCTCTCTCTAATAAATTACTGTCATTAAGACCAATTTTATTTCTTCTATAATTAGGTAATCCCTTTAATTTTAAATGACAATCATCTCTTATACAAGTAATTTTATGATGATCCAAAAAACCATCAATAACTAATCCTGATGTTTGATCATTTTAACTTTCATATTACAATTATAATAAAAAATTAGTCAAATTATAAATTTATTAAGGCTATTAACAAGTTGTTAAATTTGTCATTAGAATTTCATATTATTCATTCTAAGGACGAAGTAATGTTATAACTAATAAAGGTAGTCCTCCCATCCAAGAAAATATTAATCCAAAAAATAATACTCCTTCTAGATATATAGCAAAACAAAGCATAGAGACACCCCATAAATGAAATGTTACTAACATTGAATAGGATTTCTATATTATATGATTATTATATGGTTTTTCTACATGAAAACACCAAAATACAAGAAAACTACCTATTAACATTATTAAAATATGAACATATTCATAAAATTTATCATTCATATAAGTATAACATATAACCATTACCAATTCATATAATAATAAATAAGTTGTGCATTTACTTTATTTTTTTGAATTTAAATTTTATGGTAAATAGTTGACTTCATAATAAACCATTGAAAATAACAAAGTAATAAAACTAAAAATGATTACACCTATAATAGCAACTATTCCATGTACTATATGTGCATTAGCCCAACATTAAACATCAAATAAATAATGTTAAAAGTAACCTGTACCATCATCATAACAAGCTAACATAGCTAAGAATACATCTACAAAAGGTAAAAATAATATTGATAAAAAAAATTCGATCAGTGTTCTAAGAATAGCAATAGCCCAAGTAAAGCTTTGATTTTATTTATTTGAATAAAAACCAATTACGCATATTAGCATGAGAGTTATCAAGAATAATGATAAACAAACATACATTAAAACAACAAAATATGAGAAACTATCTTTATCAAAATAAGGGGTAATCATAAAATAACTAATATTAGTAAAATTATTACTTGAAAAAAGTATGTAATGGTTTAGACACTGTTGTCACTTACCATATTTTCCAAATTTATCGATTAAATAAGATAGCATTCAACTACATATATTAAATGAGTCTCATCAGTAGTTAAAATACAACTGATTGGGACTCAATCTTTAACATTAATGTTACTATCTTAAATATTAATTGCTTCATTTCTAATGTTAATTTATCTACAAATGATCCTTCATTGTCTAACTACGTTTATGCATTGTTGTAATTTGATTTTGATTCCATGAATAATTTAATTTATAAAATATTAATACATTTTATTTAAAAACAAAGAATCTAACTCAATTAACCTTGTATAATTGAATTAATTTTTATTCTCAGTAAATTAATGAATTGAAAACATAAATTATATTAATAAATAAGAAGATTTTATATAAAACTAATCATCTTGTGAAAAACTTTCCACCTTCAATATTTCTTGAATAACCTGGATTTGTACATTTCGAATGAGTATCATTAAATACATATGGAGATTTACCTACTCCTGGTAAACAATAACTAAAAAAAATGATTATTTTTATAATACTGATTGAATTTGTATTACTTTAATAATTTTAATTTCTTTAGATCCTAGACTTTTTCTAATAAACCCTTTTATTTTGTAATTAGATCTTAATTTTATACTATATCATCAATTATATTGTGTTCCTTAACTAATTGATGTGTATAATCATTTCGTTCACTTAAATTCCTATTTCTTTCAGAAACTTTTAAACTTGCAATTTTGAATTATCCTTTACTTGAATTAACTGATTATTAAAATGAGTCTTTCTTTTAAGATGAATAGTATTGGACAGTTTTATCAAGTTTTGCTTAATATAATTGATGTTTTTATAACTATTCAAAAAATTCCATTTTTTTATTCTCAGGATCAAGATATTTGTTTCTTTACTAATTTTTTGTTTTATCATTTATTCTCTATGTAAAAGGTTAATAAACTCTCTCTTAAGATGCTCTATTTAAATAATATAAATTATTCTCATAGAATGAATCTTCTTAATTAGAAATTGTATGTAAAGTTGGATTGTGAATTAGAGGATTATTTTAAGTTCTCATTAAAATTTGCTTAATAAATATTTAAAGATTAATTAAATTCATTTCAGCAGATCAAATAAAATATTTTAGGCATCCAATACTGTTTATTTGGCTTCATTCATACCATTTATAACATCAAATGATAAAAATCCATGAGGCATAGATTAATATTCAATCAATCTAGCATCTCTTTTTAATTATATCAATCTTTATAGAAATCTAAAACTTTCATCATGCAAAGGATCATAGGTTCCAACTTATATTCTAGTCTTTGGAAATCTTTTAAGAATATCATCACTAGCTTTTGATGGTGATAACATTGGATCTAAATTAGGATTAAATTCTTTCTCAATATATGATTACAAACATAACTTTAAAACAGTATGATGAAGCACTTTATATCAAAATTATAATTATACATGAATCATCTAAAGATACTAAAAAACTTGGAGTAAATTATTTTATATCCAAAGATAATGCTGGATAAGCCAGTAATATACCATCAGGTATTCTAACTCCTGCTTTTATTGCTTATATAGTTAAAGCAGCAACAAGATTACCTCCTGCACTATCCCCAACTAATACTATTTTATTTGGAACTATATTATAATATTATTCAATGAATGTTAGTATAAACATATACGCTTACCAACAGTCATCTAGTCCTGCTGGATAAGGATTATTTGGTGCCATTCTGTAATCTATTGAGAATATAGGTACTTTCAAAGCATTTGCCCATTTTCTTGTGTATGTTTAATGTGATCTAGAAGACATTGCTACAAAACCACCTCCATCTATATAAATTAAATATATTTAAATATACGTATGTGAATAACTATTTTATCAAAAACAGTATCATTCTTAGTTAATTATCCTACAAATTATTAGAAAAGAGATTATTTTTTTTGTTTTAAGATTTCATGACATAGAATTCTAACTTATACTCTATCTAAATTTTTAGACAATAAATCATCTAAAGTTAACTTATTTTCTGGATAAAATAGACCACAATCATTATTGATTTTATTGATTGTGGATCTTTTATATTGATTTAAAATATATTCAGATGAAATACATCTAAAGTATCTTGGTATATATATCTTTTTGTTAAATTAAATTTAAGGAAATATTGCAGGTAATAGTATTTTGATAAGACCTTATTCAGGTAGATTCCAAGCTTTAAAAACATCTTCCTTTTTAGGATCTGCTAAAAAATGATTTGCTCTACTTTTCATTTTTTATTTATTCAAAGCATAAATTAAAAAACCAAAACCTTACATAAATTTTTACTTTATTTCTCCTTCATATTCAGATCCTTTTGAAATCATAGCATTTGCCAATAAAATACCTTCACAAACTTTATCATAAGATTATCTTATTTATTCATGATCAGCTAATTGTTTTTATTCTATATAGTTTTTTAATTATTGCCAAAATATATGTTATTAATTAACAGAAAAAAGATCATCTTATTTTACAGCTATAGCTCCAGGTAATATTTCTATACAAGATTATAATTTAGAGCAATATATAGAAAATTTTCTATTTTGTTATTTATCTTAATAAGGAAATTTATTTAGTAATTCCTATATTTTATTTAAGATAAAATTATTTAAATAATCAAGAACCAAATTAGTTGTATATTAGTTAATCTAATTGTATGTTTATGCGATATTGTAATTTTGATGTTTGGAATTGAATCCAAATTCTTTTTATTCTATCAAAGAATATATCTATTCAATTTACATTAATCCATCAGATGAAATTCCAATTAATTAAAGAGCCTTTGTACATGAATCTTAATAGTTATTATATTTATTAATAATATTTTAAGAGAATCCTAAAATTTAGTTGAACATTATTATAGAATTTTAAAGATTTTATTAAAATTTATCTTTAACTATTCTTGATTATATATTGAGATGATGTTCTGGATGTACAAATTCCATTTCTTCATTCTATTCTAAACTATAATTAAATAGACTGTCATATTAAATAAATTGCATATTTATTTATTAAAATGATTGTTTAATAAATATCATATAAATATATTTAATAAGAAATTAAAAGAACAATAATAAATATTTTTAAGGATATAAATAAATAAAGAATGACTCTAAAATTTATATTAATATTTATCAAAAGTTGATTAGAAATTGACTTAAATTTTGTAAAATTAAGTATAAAATCTTATATTTATTTTAATTATTACAAATATCAATATAGTAACTTTATTATACAATTGCATTCTTTAAGATATTGGGTTAAAAGTGAAAATTTTATGAATAAATTTCTGATTATTAAAATACCTTAATTTGCCATAAGATTTCAATGTCAATGAAGTCTTAACTTAATAAAGGGAAAGCAGAACTGACTAGGTCTAACTATCTTAAAAAATTACAAAATCTTTAAATTTCAATCACTACACTTCCAAATAGTGCAATATAGGTTAAAACACCAAATGTTTCAATTATCAATAATTCTTTCAAAATATTATCATAATAAACTACTCCTAAAACTATTTAAGAAAATAATTTCTTTAGTAGTCGAGATTTTGATGTTAATGAATTAAAAAAATAACATTTACGTACACAATCTCAAATTGAAGGTTTGCTTTTGAGAACCTAATTAGTTGAAACAGCTCGATAAAGAACAGCCTCAACTTTTATAAAGAAGCCTAAAGCTGATGTTAAGCCTGCTAAGGTATATAGAATAATCTAGTAAATGAATTAAGAAGATGAATTAAGAAAATAAGAAAAACTAAAAAAAATATAGTTAATGCAATAAGTAGAAATGGAGAAAAAAGAAAAAGAAAAGTAAAATCAATAAAAAGAGTCCACTCCTAAAATTAATTCTCTTACATCAATTTTATCTAAAAAATCCAATGCTGCAAAATATAAATTATTAAAAGTTAGTCTAAATGTTATAGAAAAATCAAAAGAAAAAATTTAAATGAATTCTATAAGGGATGATTCTATTTAAATTACTTAGAATGTAAAAATAAGAGAAAAATAAACAGACACTATTTTTAAAATATCAACAATTATAACAGCCTTAATGTTTTAACGACTTCATTCTAAAATAACATCTCCTAAATTGGCAAGATTAGTATCAAAACATTATTTAAGTTTAATAAATTATAGAAAAATTGAGGAAAGACTTTTAGCATTAACTACAAACCCTTCAATGAAATATATATAAAATGTATTAAATGAAGATGATGTTTTAAGTAATGCAATAAAGGTAGTTTAAGTAAGAGAAATATAAAGAAGATTAAATGAAGGACTTTCATAAAGAAGAAAGGCTTCAAAAATTATTTTCTAAAAAAAATCTAGTAAAGAATTAAGAGCAGAGGATATTTTTTCAGAGAAAGTTCTAAAAAGAGTTAGATTTATTTAGATGTGTTTTAGAATGAAAGTTTTTAAATTTAATAAAAGATCTATAGCTAATTGTAAACCTATTGAGAAGATAAGAAAATCTACAAAAGTAAGAGCATTTAAAAGAAGACTTGGTGATATTATATTTATGAGTGAAAATGTTCCAGTATTTTAACTATAATAGGAGAAAAAAGAATAAGAAGAGAAAGAGAAAGAAAAGATTTAAATAGAAGAAAAGAAAGAGAATCTTGGAGTTTTTGGAATGCTTTGGAAAGCTTAAAATAAATTTAAAAATTTTTGTAGACATCCAGGTTTAAAAATACCATCAAAAACTTGTGATGATTGGGTTAAACACATTTAAACATTATATTATCCTAGTTTTAGATATATTTCAGTTTTTTATAGAAATATTGTAGTCTGGTCAGTATCTTATTATGATGTTACTTATGATAAAAGTTGTATTGCCCTATTTTTTAAAGGAGAAGGTCGTTAGTAATATCATTTTCGTCTAGATATTCCACTTGTCACAATGCCAGACTTTGAAGTTAATAAGAATTGTACAACAGTTTGGCCTACAGTAAAAGATTATATGCTGATTTATTTAAGATAGAAAGGATAATTGGCTTTATTGAATAAGGATTAACTTCCATCGGCTAAAGTTTATAAGACCTCTTTTATATAAGGACTTTCTCTTAAGTCAAGAAGAAAACTCACTGAACTTGATATTTAATCAATTGTTGAAACTTAAAAAATAATCACTTATTTATAAAATAATCAAATAGTAAAAATAAAAAAGAAGATTGGAACAACATATGATTTATTACCATAATTATCTGAGACAATTGATTCAGATTTGATTAAATAATACATAATTAATTTACCATTAATTAGATTAATACTTATTGACATATTAGTTTTAGAATAAAAATTATTAGAAAATAAAAGAAAATTAAATTAAGATAGTTAGAATCTTTCTAAAGAATATGTAAATTATATTTAAATTCATTCAGAAACATTAAATTAAATATTATAATTCAGATTTTTACATAATAATAGTGAATTTTTTAATGATTAATTGATAACAAAAATAAATTAATAAGAAACAAAAAAAATATTTATTTAATCTTGTTTTGTAGATATTAATGAAATATTAATATAATCAAATGATGCACTATTAGGATAAGTAAGTAAAACATGTTAATTGAGTATACATTTATGTTATAATGGAAATGCTGTAGTAGATAAATTATTATTAGATGTGGATAGAATGAGACCAAGATATTAATTTAATAATGAAGCACCATAATTATTTTGGATTAATCCTGAAACATTAGAATGGTTATTTGATTCATCTAAATTTTAATTATAAATTGAAGCATTATTATTTGAAAAAGATAAATAAAACACAGATTAATTTTTTTATTAAACAAATTTACATAGAAGAAGAAATGAAAGAATTTTTTAACCTTTAAGTATTAGTATTTTTCATTTTGAGAAATTAGCTCTTGCAGCTAAAGAAATAATTGATAGTTCTATTTTTGATTAATTTAATATTAATTAAATATTGAAGAATTTGATCTTTGAAAGAACTAATTATTCTGTAATAATTAGTTTAATATTAAATCATTTGATAACATTAAATTTTAAAAATAGATAAGTTACATTAAAAGCATAATATTAACATATACTTTCATCTACTTTAAATTTTATAGAAAAAATGGATCATCACAGTTTATATAATACAACATAAACTTATTTAAAATATAGTATATATCCTCATGAAGAAAAAGATTTAAGAAAAATGAAAGAAACTCGTGAAACTTAAGCTAAATTTGAATATCATTCTATTTTTGATTAATAATTTCAATAGATTGATTAAATTGAAATAAAACCAGAATATGCTTCTAAATAATTAGAAGTAGCATAAGAATATAATTATGATTAAAAATAAATATTTTGGTCATAAGGTGTAAAAAGATTTGATACATTCTAACATCCAAATTATGTATTTGTACGTCTTAGAGATAAATTTATAATAGTAATTCTATCATAATAAAGAGTAAGAATGATCAATATAACTAGATTAAGAAAACCTTTGATATTAGATTCAAAAAATTCACATATTTATATTAATATTTGTAAATATTCTTAATAAAAGCCATATTAAAAATTATCTCTTTATAGAAAAATGTTTATTATATTATTAAAGGAGAATTGCTTTTTGAGAATTAAAATGGAGAAATTCTATTGTGCAATAAGAGCATCTCTACCAAATTATAGTAAAATAAAAGCTTATTTATTATCTGATTCAAAAGAGTTAATAAATTATTTAAATCGTTTAGATTTTACTTTTACTTTTGAAACTATTAATAAAGCAAAATGTTATGCAAATGTTAAAGTATTCTATTTAGGAAAATAAGAATCATATTATTCTACAAAATATGAATAAATTTATAAGTTTGATGGTGAAAATTTGTTTATAAGTCTTTAAATACATGAATTTGATTCAAAGTTAAAAAAATATATTTTAATATTCAATAAATTTGATATTGAATAAAGATTTGAAATTTATAATTATTTTTCACCAAATTTAATTTATTAATGGTGTTAAGAATTTGTTGTAAATTTAAAATTTGATAAAAAATTTCTATATAAAACACCTTTTTCAGTTATGTAAATAATAAAATCATAATAAGATATAAAATTAGCATCATTTTGGATTGCTAAAAGATCTTAAAAATGTATTCTTAATGAATATTAAAGAGTTCATTCATATGATTATAGTTAAGCAAAATAATTTTTAAGTTAAAGATATAAAATCTTTAGAGTAATAGCTCATTATATAGAAAAGTTTTATATTGTAAAATAAAATAATTAAATAACAGTATTAAATGAATGTATGTTTCTTTAATTTAAGAATTACAAATTGATTAAGGTTGAATTTGTTATAATTACAATACAAGCTCATACTGTTTTGGATCTTATTTAAATCATTTATTATTTCCCAAAAAGTAAAAAAAGATTAATGACAAATATTAATTTAATTTAAATTTAAGAAATGGATTTTAGTTTAGGAATGATATTTTAATTATTGAATATAACTGAATATTCTACATTTAATGATATTTCTAATTAAGTTGATGAAATATAAAGAGGATCACTTAAATATAGAAGATCTTCAAAATTAAATAGTTAAGTGATGACAAAATTACATATTATGAGATAATCTATTGATGTATCTTAACTTAGTTTTAAAACTGGAAAAATCAAAAGAAGACAAGGATTTGTTGCATAAACTTCTTAAATTAATATTAAAACTAAAGTAATCAATTAAGCTATAGAAAAAAATGAAGATATGTGTTAAAAGGTATTGTAAATAATTGATTTTACAAGATAATTAAATAGTGGTGATAGAAAAAATGATAAAAGATATTTAATAGAAATTATGTTTTGGAGATTAATGTAATAATAAGTATTTTAATTATCAGTTCGTAAAGAAAAGAGATAACTTAAAAGTTATATTAGTTTATTTGATAGATTAGTAGAATTATTTGATAATGAATCAAACAAAAAATATAGAATAATCGGAAAAGAATATTTAGAAAAAAAGTAAACAGATGAAAATATAAGATATAATTACAAAGTATAATCAGAATGTAGAAATTTATATAGAGATTTAATATTAGAATAAGAAATATATATGACTTAAAATTTAAATTTTGGTAAGACTCCTTTTGTAATTAAATGTAATTTAAATGAGATTTCCATTTTAGAATATTTATGTACTAAATAATTCAGAAGTGATAATGGAAGTAGAGGATATATTGAGTATTTCTTAGAAAGAAAATAGAAATCAAAAGGTATTGATTTATTTGAACCTGCAAAACCAATTCTTTATTCAGCATCATCTAGTTATAATATTTATTTAAGATATTATTGTTTAGCAAATTATCAATATAAAGATATAAGAATAAATCTTAGAGAAATAATGAATTAATTAGTTACAGATGGTCTCTATAAATCATAATCAAATTATATGAATAGTAAAATTAATCTTAGTGATATAATTGAAATGTGTCATTATCTAACATAAAAAATTAAAACATAAAATTACCTTAATTTAGCTAGATTATCATAAATTTAGATTAATCAATTACCAGAAATTTAATAACATATCATCTCTGAATGTGATGATTAATTATCAAAAGAAACTAAACAAAGATCAGGAGATGGTTTTGTATGTACTCAAGTAATTCGAAATAAGAAAAATCATTCTATTTATTAATATTAATTATTCTAAACTACAAGAAAGGTTATTATCAATAAATATGAAATGAGATAAGATTATTTTGAATAGAAAGAGTTTACATATGCTCAATTAACTTAGTATGTCCATAATTTCATATATCTTATCAAAGCAAAATTATATTATTTAGCTTTGAAAAGATTTTCTTAATGTTACATAGAATTGCAGAAAATTAATTAATGATTATTTATATAATTTAATGAATTATGAATTATCAGTTAATGGATAGAAGGTGAGTATTCTAAAGAGTGCTAAATCCCTTTTAGATTGTCATCTACTAAGACATTAATACAATAGATCTTAAAAGTATACTCCAATTAAGAAAGTCTAAAATTTTCAATTTGCCCTTAATTCTTTAAGTCAAACATAAACATCATGTTAACTATCAACAAATAGATCTAAGCGTACTCTCTAGAGTTCTCAAAAAAGTAAAAGAGAAAAAAGGTTTGTTCCAAGTGAATTAAGTTAAAATTTAGAGTTGCTAGAAAAACTACCAAAAAGCAATTAATCATCCATTTAAAGATTGAATTCACCTACTTAACATGTTCCAAATCTTTAATTTAATCTTAATTATCATTTAAGATAGTTAAAATTTAAGTAATAATTATAAAAGGATCAATCTTGGTAAGATTTCTCAATAACTCCTACTCCTAGAGGATTTACAAATAGAGTGTATAAAGTTAAAAAAAATGATCCAAAATTATAGTTTTATATGGACTGTTCTAAACGTGCAAATGAATGAATATGATATTCAAAAAATATTATTTATTTTATCAATTTTACATTAAGGTTTATGATTATTNATTCAGCATCATCTAGTTATAATATTTATTTAAGATATTATTGTTTAGCAAATTATCAATATAAAGATATAAGAATAAATCTTAGAGAAATAATGAATTAATTAGTTACAGATGGTCTCTATAAATCATAATCAAATTATATGAATAGTAAAATTAATCTTAGTGATATAATTGAAATGTGTCATTATCTAACATAAAAAATTAAAACATAAAATTACCTTAATTTAGCTAGATTATCATAAATTTAGATTAATCAATTACCAGAAATTTAATAACATATCATCTCTGAATGTGATGATTAATTATCAAAAGAAACTAAACAAAGATCAGGAGATGGTTTTGTATGTACTCAAGTAATTCGAAATAAGAAAAATCATTCTATTTATTAATATTAATTATTCTAAACTACAAGAAAGGTTATTATCAATAAATATGAAATGAGATAAGATTATTTTGAATAGAAAGAGTTTACATATGCTCAATTAACTTAGTATGTCCATAATTTCATATATCTTATCAAAGCAAAATTATATTATTTAGCTTTGAAAAGATTTTCTTAATGTTACATAGAATTGCAGAAAATTAATTAATGATTATTTATATAATTTAATGAATTATGAATTATCAGTTAATGGATAGAAGGTGAGTATTCTAAAGAGTGCTAAATCCCTTTTAGATTGTCATCTACTAAGACATTAATACAATAGATCTTAAAAGTATACTCCAATTAAGAAAGTCTAAAATTTTCAATTTGCCCTTAATTCTTTAAGTCAAACATAAACATCATGTTAACTATCAACAAATAGATCTAAGCGTACTCTCTAGAGTTCTCAAAAAAGTAAAAGAGAAAAAAGGTTTGTTCCAAGTGAATTAAGTTAAAATTTAGAGTTGCTAGAAAAACTACCAAAAAGCAATTAATCATCCATTTAAAGATTGAATTCACCTACTTAACATGTTCCAAATCTTTAATTTAATCTTAATTATCATTTAAGATAGTTAAAATTTAAGTAATAATTATAAAAGGATCAATCTTGGTAAGATTTCTCAATAACTCCTACTCCTAGAGGATTTACAAATAGAGTGTATAAAGTTAAAAAAAATGATCCAAAATTATAGTTTTATATGGACTGTTCTAAACGTGCAAATGAATGAATATGATATTCAAAAAATATTATTTATTTTATCAATTTTACATTAAGGTTTATGATTATTGATAATCTTTAACTTGATATGATATACTTTTTATGATAATAATATAATATAATCATCCTAAAAAGTTTTATAAAATATTCTAATCTTGTTGTAAATAATCTTTTTGCAAATAATTCATTTGACATATTAGATATAATAATTCTGATTAGAATTGAATAAAATTTACAATTAAATACTTGTTGTTAAATAAATATTTATATATTAAAGAATTATATTTTAAAATTATGATATAAGTTGAAGGAATTAACATAGCAGTAGAAGGATGTTTTCATGGCAATTTTGATGAAATATTTGGTGAAATTTTAGATATTGAGAAAAAGAAACAAATAAAAATAGATTTATTACTAGTTTGTGGTGATGTTTAAACTATTAGAAATAAAAATGATATGTACAATATGGCATGTCCAAAAAAATATTTAGAAATGGGTTCATTTTACAAATACTATACAGGTGAAAAAATAGCTCCTTGTTTAACAATATTTATTGGAGGAAATCATGAAGCATCTAATTATTTAAGAGAAATGTACAATGTAATTAATTATTAAAAGGCATTTTGGAGGTTGGGTATGTCCAAATATCTATTATTTGGGAAATTCAAATGTAATTGAAGTTAAAAAAGGGAATACTACATTTAAATTAGGTGGTAATTCAGGAATATTTAATAATCATGATTTTAATAATCCTAAATTAGAAAGTTTTCCATTTACATAAGACTAATTACATTCTGTATATCATATAAAATAATTTGATTTATATAAATTAAATTTATATGAAGGAGATATAAATATATTTTTATCTCATGATTGGCCATTATGTAAATTTAAATAATATCTTATTTAGCTATTGAGAAACATGGGAATATAAATGATTTAATTCGTAAAAAAAAACATTTTGAAGCAGATATTTTAGATGGGAAATTTGGAAGTATTTCACATTAATATCTATTAAATAAACTTTAACCTAATTTTTGGTTTGCAGCACATATGCATGTAAAATTTGAGGCTCTAGTAAATCATCAATCAAATAAAAAAACAAAGTATTCAAATTATTTGAATTTAATAGATTTTTGGCTCTTGATAAATGTTTACCTGGAAGAGAATTTTTATAAGTTTTTACATATACAAAAGAAGGAGTAGATTTATATAATTAATTTGCTTTCAATAATGAACCAATAGAATTATATTATGATCCAGAATGGTTAGCAATTATGAAAACTACTTTTAATTTATAATTAATTTGGGATAAAATGCCAAAATTATTTGATATAAATTATGCATAAAAAGAGTATAATAATATATTAATTTAAATTTAGATTAAAAATAATAAGATGGCAAAAATATTAACAAATGTTATAAGCAAAATAATAATTATTAATTAATTATAAAAATCAAAGAATTAAAATACCAAATAATTTCTAAATCACAGCTACTCCTCATTATAAAAATGATCCAACAAATAAATTAACTTTGCCCAATAGAGTAATATTAAATAACTAAATTGATGATTATTTGAAATTATTTAATGAATCAGGTTTATAATTAAATGGATTTCTATTTTATGAACCTCAATAACCATAAAAAAAAGAAATATAAAATTAGTTTTAAGTAATCAATAAAATTGAAATACAATAAAATAAAGAAAAAGTAAAATAAGAAATTCTAAAATAATTGGATTAATAATAGAAATAATAAAAAATAAATGATAATTTAAATATATTAGATTTTCCATTATTATAATGAAAATAAAATAAACATAATTTTAAAATACCTAAATATAGTGAATCAAAACTAAATATGAATAGTAATTCTTTCATATAAAATATTATTGCGCATTAATTGATAATTAAAGGATTGTTTAATTTGAATATTTTTTCAATATTAATAAATTTGGTATGATGGCTCATGCTGATTTCATAGAATTCAAGGCATCCAGATCTCATTCACAATACAAGTTGAACTCTATTGATTTCGATGATTTTGCATACAACTTAAATAAAACGATATACAATTTTTAAAAGTCATAAGAAGGAAAAACGATAGATAAAATTTCTAAATTTAGAAGGGCAAAGAGCTTCTTAAATGTTAAAAAACATGAATAAACCAATTCTCTCTATTAGACCTTCAGTAGGAACGCTCCTGGGTTTGATGAAAGTGAAACAAAAGAACTTATGGAACTTATTCTCTAGTTAGAATATTTATTCATTCTCTACCACA